CAGACAAATTAATGGGTGCCAAGCAAACACACAATGTATAATCTCCTTTGCATTGTGTCAAACTTAATCTGGGTTTAGGTGAGGCTACTTTCAGAGATGTTTTCACAATAAACATCCACTCTCAACCGGATGATAATAGGCTACCTGACAGCATGCAGCCATGTTGAGGACAAAGAAGTCATTTCAGTCTGCGGCGGAGGTTGTGTATTTATAGTGAGTGTATGGCGTTTGTGTGTATTCTCCTTATAGCGTCGCTACATCAACTCTGCTGCTCAGTAAGAGTGGAACCCGAGCCGAGGTGAATTCAGCAGATGATCTTGGGCTCAGCTGCCAAAATCACACGCTAACTCTGGTCTCAGCAGTTGAGCGCTGGGTGTGTGTGTGATCCTGCTGTGTTTGCATCATTAGCCTTAATAAGCAGAAGCAACATAAGGAGGTAACCATTCTTTAGTTTGTGCACATGTGTGTGTGAGTACAGATGGCCTCAGATGTCCTTTATGCAAATAGAAGTGGTACCCATGCCTGAGGGTGTGTGTGTCATGGAGATGGACAACATACACAAAGGTGTCCCTGCACAGTGTGTGTGTAGCACCAGCTGGCAGATAGGAACTAATTAAAGGTAATTTTAGGATATTTATGTATAGCTGTATAGTGTAAACCACCCTGCTCTGATGCCACACAAAGCATTCATCTGAGCCCTACACACCCTCATTCCTCATTCAGGACCCTCTGATAACCCCCCTTCTCTCCGGGGCTTTCTCCTTTTAACCCCACTGTCCCTCCACCCTCTGAAAACCCCATGTGTGATCCCCCCTAAACCACTAAAGTGGGCCAACCAATCCCCACTGAGCAGCCAGATTGTGTTTAGCATGACAAAAGAGAATCTGTGTCTGTGTGTTGTTTACATGCATTGTGTGTGTGTGTGTGTGTGTGTGTGTGTGTGTGTGTGTGTGTGTGTGTGTGTGTGTGTGTGTTCCTCTGACATGGCAAAGACAAGCTTTTACCAGTGAAGGAAGTTGGTTTAAGCAGGAAATTCACTCCACATGCGCTCAAAGCACATCTACATTTATATGCGTGCAGATGAAACAGCGTATCTTTGTCTGAGGTTCTTTAATAAGCTAACCAATATAAGCCCACTGGAAAACTTTGCATCTGTTAAGCAGATCTGCTTCAACAAATATGGAGTTAATTTGTACCATTTGTAACATCCTGGGGGATAAAATCCTGTTTCTTTATGACAATGTTGCAATTTTGTTACTACCGTTGATGCCTCAGTTTCTCCATATAAAGCTGCGGCTCACACCTGCTCCTCTTATGCCTGGTCAGCCACGCGTCCCACCTCTCCATCTCTCTGTTAGATTGGAGAGGCATTCCCCTGCCACAACACATGCTTAAGCAATTATTTCACACAGTCCCATGGACAGAGAGGGAGGAAGAGGGCTAGAAAGGGGAGAGCCAGGGAGAGAGAGAAAGACATTTGAAGTGGAGTGATCAGGGGCAGCTGGCCAGGGATTTGCAGGGTTCTGGGAGAGAATGTGTAGAAGTTAGAACACCCATAATCCTTTTCTAAAAGAGAGAAAGGAGAGACGGAGGGATTGAAAACAAAGAGAAGAGAAAGGGGGGCCACTGAGCCAGAAACTAAAAGGACTACAGTGACAACGGCCAAAAACAAACTAGCTATGAAAGCAACACAAACGCTGAATCTGGATGGGACGCCAGCTGAATAACAAGTTAGGACTAACAGACAAACTTTACATTACAAACAAGTTGGAGCAGTAAAAACCATTGGCATCGCCTCGGCTTCAGTGACAGTTTGATCAGCTATTAATCCATTTTCAACTTTGTTACATCGATTTTAGTTTCAGTCAAATGTCATCTCTACTTTTGGACAGCTCTAGCTAGAATGGCACCTCTGGAGGATTAGGGTCAGATGAACAGGGTTCTGAGGGCACAGGAGGGGTGTCAAGGGCTACTTAAAAAGGGCAGGTTACAACACTTCAAAAACACTCCCCGGGTGTTGGCAGGCAGCAGGAGGACACAATGATAGATCCCATGATGCTCTGTGGATTTTAAAATTATCAATATATGATGTGTTGACAACATGTTCATCTTGCTGTCAGAGCAGAGTAACCATACGCGTGTCAGTCGATCAGCAGAATGTCAAAGTCTTATATTGATTAATAAACAAGGTTTGAAGGTTGTTTTTATTGTGAGATTGTTCAAAATACACCATTTCAAGCAAACAATGTGAAAGCCTGCATAATGATGCATGTTTTTGCTGTTTAGTACCGCTTCTCCGGCATGGGGTGGTGTGTTGGAACTGCATGATAAGGGGATGTTGCAGATGAAGTAGTCTTGTTGTGACAGATAACGGGGAATACTTTTAAAACGATAAGGCTTTTACTGCCAACTATTAGAAAGTGAAGTCCGCTTTTAATCTATTTATTTGTTCATGCTTTTGTGAATGCAGAGTTTAAAGCAGCTGACTCAAATCAGCTGATGTGAGGCGAAGAACGTAAACAATTCAAATTATAACAGACGGAAACACACAAAACTGTTTCAAACACTTACCAAGTAGAAGACAGAAGACGTCGAGCGCTATTAGCAGCTTCTTCTTGCTGTTGTCAACACCATTGTTGTTATTTAATGTAGAGGTTCCTCCGTTTCTTGTCTCTTGGGCCATTGCTTTCTCATACATGTACTTTTGCATTTGAATGTCCCCGTTTCAGCTCAAAATCCCACACCACGCGGTAGGTAAAGAAAGTCTGTCAGTGTCTCAAGTCCTTCAAAAAAAAATCATGCAAAGCTCGGAGGTCTCGTAAAGTTTAAAATCTGCGGATGACACGTTGTCTCGTGTTTCAATTTCTCTATAAAAGGTTAAAATATATGAGTACTATCTGGTGAACGGACCCGCGCCACGGACTCAAGAAAGAAAAGTTTCCTGCGCTCGCAATGAATGGAAAGCCCGCTCCCCTTTATCTGTCTTGGTTCAAAGACTTGGAGTGGAATTGCGCTGCGCATCGACAGCCGCTCTTGTTATATCAATCCTTCTTCTCCTCCTCCTCCCCCTGCACTCTTCAAGTTCCCCCAGCAGCTTCAAGGCTCAGCCCTCTTCCCTCTGCTAGCGGTGGGTAATCACCTCCATCCCTGCATGGAAAACTTTCTCAGACTGACCGAGAGGGAGAGGAGCGCGCGGACACAGCGCCCCCAGCGGTAGAGTGGCACGTGACAGGCGCACTACAGTGAAGCGGTTACCATAGGGGGGAAATACTTCACTCATCTTCGTAGGAAAACATGGAATTACTCAATTTTAGAATCAAATAGAATGAACTGTATATAGACTCAGAGAAGTTAAAGTCAAAACTTGCACATTGTACTACAATACATATATTACAATGAATACAGTAGAGTAAATATATTAATAATGATATGCTTAATGGAATCTATTGTCAGGTCATGGCTGAAACCCTATGCTATTGGAGATGGGAATATATATTCTTTTGTTATCCTTAAAAAATTATTTAAAAAAAAACGTATTCAACGATAAATATTCTAACAGTTTGTTTCACAAGTTAAGGTTGAAAGATTTATGCTGAGTAATGAGTAATGATGAAATAAAAGAGAAACATGAAACATTGTAGAGATATGTTAAATATGTGCTTTCGTAAATGCATCTTTAACATGACGCTGATAAAGATGGGGGATTTTTCGAAAACGATTAGGAAATTCTAGATTTTATAGATTCTGCCAGTACAATTACACAAATACTTTTTTATGATTCAATCTTTTTCCTTTTCATTATTCGTTTTTCTGAGGAAAATTGGAACAGGGACTTTTGATTGCTGTGGCCAGCTCAACAAATGATCACATTCAAAGAGGGCTCAACAGAGCAGCAGAAGTCCCAAGAGTTAGACTGTAAATTTGACTTACACTGCCATCTAGTGGTCAAACATGAACATGTCTTTCATTTTTGTTTGTAACCCATCTTCGATGTTGTCTTCGGGTCAAATCTGACCGATGTACTACTTTCATCAATCATAACTTTTTTGTTTTACATTCGATTGCATTAAGGCTTTATGAAATCCTTCACAGTAGACATTTGAACATATGCAATTGCTGATCACCACTTTCGTTGAATACAGTACAGTTTGAAAGGGTGTTGAATGAAATTTGGTGATGATTAATGGTTTTTGTGTTAATGTAATAGCAGTTAAAACAGGACCGGTGAAATTTAATTTCCTTGATATCTTCACAAACCCAACCTGTTGTAAACAAAATGAATGAAAGATTAGCATCATATTAACGCTTTAAATAAAACGGGGGTCTTAGTTTTTTACGTAAGACACCGGCTTGGGACAACAAAAAACAAGTTTACATATTGCAGTCTGTGTGGACTAATCACAGGGAGGACATAACTACATCAAAAAGCACTTATTTGTAAGAATAACAATTAAACTATGTCCCTGTCATTACAAATTGATATGCCATAGAGATGGAAATTTGACACTGCTCTGGTTATGGACATAATTGGATGAAAAAACAAAACAAACAGCAGAATTCCAATCATGCATTGCACTCCCGTAAACATGTCCTGCCACTGTTTTGCAAATGTTGGGATCTTTTCATGACAATTTATATACACGTATCCAATTATTTACAACTCAAAACATCAGTAAATGTTTGGGTGTGTCTTGAATAATGATGGGCTGCCTGTCGTGAATCAGATTATTCGTGAGAACTGTCTATGTATCAGGGAAGGAAATTAACCGGGATGCCAAATTCGACACCACACCGTGGGAAACGCACACTGTACAGCCGTTTGGCTATTGGGGTCATAATCCCGGTTGTGACTCACAAACGGTGTTTTACCATAGCATATGGGATCCAGAAAGACAGTTACCTATTTAATATTGACCAACAAGCGGACAGTGCGCTTAACGGGGCAGACTCCTTGTGCTTCCCCCCNNNNCTGAGGTGCCCCGCCCCTCCGCGCACACCACAGGCAGCCGGGCAGCACACCCTCCGCACCGAGCGAGCCCAGCCGTCGGTAACGGAGAAGATGGCAGAGAGGCAACAACAGAAACACGAAGGCAGGGTAAAAATCGGCCATTACATCCTCGGCAACACGCTCGGAGTGGGAACCTTCGGGAAAGTGAAGAGTTAAGTCGTGCTTTTGTGAATGTGTGCGTTTGTGTGTGAAGTAAACATTAAGTAGTCACCTAGCTTTCCCCCTGAACGGACCGTGTTGAACTTGCTGGTCACTGAGCAGTTAGCGTAGCTCGACGGGTTACCAGCTGTGACAGAAGGGATTTAAAGCGTAAATGTGCTTCGAGAATCCGCCAGCTTGAAAGTCAAATTCTTTCACGAAGCCCCCGCTGTGGCTACTCTTTACAGCTATGGCAGGTGAAATTACCTGAACGTCAGCAGCTAACGGAAGATGCACAGTCATACCCAGTTTATTATCTTATAATAATGTAAGAAGTTTGTGTTGTGGTTTTCTGCCCCGTGTAGCACCAAAACACGGTTTACAGCTTGCCCAAAACCCACCGTGTGAGCATGATGTTGTTAACTGACAAGATGTTTATAAACGCTGTGGTTGTCCGATATATGATCCCATTGCAAACATGTGTTGGCCTGCTAATGCCCACTAAGTCGAGACAACCTTTTACAGACCTTACGTTCAAGTACTGGAGGGCTATCTATAGGATATTATTTCACTTTTTGCGTGACCTTGTGAGCTTTAAAAAGCATGTTTCTTGTGTGCGTAGTTAAGGGATGTAGTAGTTCAGCTGGGGGACAACCCTCCTCATGTCTTGGCTGCATCATAATCCCCATATTATATTTTTTTGCAATTTAGCAATCATCAAAACTATTAAAAAAATCCTATCTAAATTGACATCAGTTTAAAACATATTTACATATTACAAAACACGTTTTTAGTTGCATAGCCTACCTAATACTGCTTTCAATCCAAATAATGAAAAAATACACAAGATAGAAAGAAAAATGTAAAAACAAACAATGACAAACTGAGCTGAAAAAACTAACCCATCAGTAGACTGCAATCCAATACATACAAACATCATGCATGAAAAAAACAGCTTAAAAAACAAAGACCTCAGACCCTCAGGCAGGCCGATAGCTCCAACTCCCTAAACAAGGACTTGGCCAGCAGATAAGGGCTAAGAGAGCAAAACATTGTTTGCATAATTGTAATAACAACAGTAATATACTGTCATGTTGAAGCCCATGGTGCTTCAGATAATCCAAATCAAACCTAACATATATCTTTCCTCTCTCTTGTGAGTCCCTATGTGTTTTTTTTTTTATCTGCCTGCTTCATATCTGTATTCTGTTGTTTTCAGTTGGCGAGCATCAGTTGACGGGTCATAAAGTGGCTGTAAAGATCCTAAACAGACAGAAGCTCCGCAGCCTCGATGTCGTCGGGAAGATTAAAAGAGAGATCCAGAACCTCAAACTGTTCAGACACCCACACATTATCAAGCTGTAAGTGCAGACAGATGACACGTCCTGCTCAAAGATTTGAAGACTCTCTGTGCTGACAGTGACACAGAGAGATAACAGATATTTGAAAATAAGGGGCTTGTGTAATGTGGCCCTTTTGCTATGTTGTGTTCTCTCTGTTGTGGCATGTTTTGCATGTTCCTGTTTGTTTACTACAGCTGCTTGTGCAGTACTGAGCATGCCCACAGGGCTCCCAGGAGGTAGAACACAGAAATGCAAAGAAAAAATCAATGCACACACACTTCTGGTTAGCTCAGAAATCCAGAATTGGCTATTATCTCTTCATGACTACATCCTTGTCCTCTCCCAGATGTCTTGGCCTTTTGTGTTTTTGTTTCTTTGACCTTGTGTTCCCTGTTTCTCTTTCCCTCATTTCTCCTTGTCAGTCCATGTCTCTCTGTCTCTCTCCAAACAATCTCTGTGTTATTTTTAGGTAAGGGTTAGTCCACTGACACACTGTAAGCTAGTGCAGATATATGAGCTTGAGTGCTGTGGAACACTCTGTCACAAACATTTACATTCACAAACACTGGCACAAACACACATATATTTTAGGCTCATAAGCTTGCATGGACACTCGCCTTTTTGTATGCTATATTGGCCCTTTTTGTTGGAACCAGCCTGAAAGGAAACTAATAAGAATAAGTGTCCTAACGCATTACAGACAAAGAGAGAAATTGTGATTTGGTTTGTGAATTTCCGCCCAAGGTGCCGGCTGTGTTATGCTACACTCGTCTAAACAGGAATAAAGCAGATTGTGATGAAGCACAGAATCTCCTGAGAGCAACCACTCATGAGATTGGGCCTGCATTGTATTAAGCCTGACCTTTATGAAATAACTCCTACCCTTAGCAGTCATACATCACAGCGTAGCCTCGCCTTTCTCTGCATTTGTTTCTCTATATCTTTTGTGTTTTGAAGCAAATACATTTTCTCTAGACATGATATAATAGCCTATTGACATGTTTATAGTTATATTACATGTAGGGATAGGATGTTAAAGAGGCAGACGTGTTCATTAACTTACAGTATGTAGATGTCAATGCAAGCATATGTTTGTGTTTTAGGTACCAGGTGATAAGTACACCCACAGACTTCTTCATGGTCATGGAGTATGTTTCTGGCGGTGAGCTGTTTGACTACATCTGCAAACATGGACGGGTAAGATGTTGCATTTATTAGTTGTTGTGCTCAAGCTGTCTGTATTTGCAGTTTACATTTTGATTTCTAATAATGTTTCTGTCTGTATGTGTTTTTAAAATGTGTGTAAAGGTTACTATAGGGCCCCCTCAAAATCAGTTGCTACATCTCAATGTGTTTTCCCTTCAATAAATTCAAGTTGTCCTCATCAACTACAGTAGGTCCCAGGGGACACTGCATTACAGAAATAGTTAGTCCTGTAGTAACAGCTCGAGTTGTATACACAGTAATGGCGTTGCAAAGCAGTGTCTGATGTGATGTGACCTTTTTTTAACAACACTTACAGGATTGGTTTTATTTGGCAGGTGATCTAACCAGTAATACTTATATCAGTGTTTCTTTGGGGGTCATAAACACTGCTAAATGCAACTTTCTTTTGACTATAGAGATATAATTATTTAGGATAAGTTGTATTAGCATTTTTTTTTAGAACTATGAATGTTTAGCTAATCTGTAGAGACAGCTAAATATACTGTCTAAATTACAGCTAGCCCCATTAAAAAATATATTATGCCCCAATGTGTTTACTTTTCCTTTCACTATTCGTGTGACCTTCCAAGTAATATGATTTATAGTTTATGAGTCATGAACACTTGATTGACAACAGTTTTATTTTTATTTTTTACTTTACTCACATTTAATTTGATACTTTCTTTGAGATTTAAACTTAGAGTAAAGCATGGTATCCCACAATCATACACACATGTAAACAAGCACACGTAAGACATCTACGTAAAGACAATCTCTTCTTGGGACTGTCTTTATTTTTAAAAGAATAATCCTATTTGGACCTGGGCCATGAGCCATAACAACCTCATGACCAGCCCTGAACATGATACATTTGCTCAAAACAACACGTCTTATCCAACGTTCTTACCAAACAATCAGAAAAACACTCACGGTTCGATCATGTGGATTTCATATTGTGTCTTTCAGGTGGAGGACACAGAAGCCCGGCGTCTTTTCCAGCAGATTATCTCAGCTGTGGACTACTGCCACAGACACATGGTGGTCCACAGAGACCTCAAACCTGAGAACGTCCTGCTGGATGCCTGCAAGAACGCCAAGATAGCTGACTTTGGTAGGAACCCTAGAGAAAAGACTTACAGTTAAAAGGAGAGACAAAAGGATTGGTATGGCAGAAGAATTGTTAGGGAATTTAAAAAGAGAGAAAGCACAACAGAATATTTTCATGGGGGGAAAAAAGAAACACGAAGAGGCAGAGTTGTGGCAGAGTGAAATGACTAAGTAATTGGAAAGTTGATTAGAGGCAAAAGAACATTGGTTGCAGTTATATAAGTCATACACTTAATTATACACTCATACAAAAGTGTGAAATCTCCGTCTTGCACCTGTTAACCTCGTAATTAAATGAACATTTATTTCTCACTGAGCACAGTTTCTCATCAGTTATGGCATGATTTTTCTGGCTGATTTGTTAAGAGACTGTACCCGAGGCAATAAGACCATGAAAGAGAGAAATATTTTCACAAACCCACTAAGGCCCGTGTGCACAGCAGGGTGTGTGGGCTGCAGAGAGGTCCCCTAGCAACGGCCAGGTCTCATATCATGTCTGGCAGGAAGCCTTGAGGCCCAGTGTCATCTGATAGGGAAGGAATCGTGGGGGCTTACAGCAAGGGAAGTGTTTTGGCTGAGGGCAACAGACACTGGAGAGCAGGGAGAGGGAGTGTTAAAGGAACCGGGCTAAAAGATAAAGAGAAGGTCAGCACTTCACAGACTGTCTGGTGTTTAGCGTTTGGCAGAGGCCCTGGCAGGCAGAGACAGGCTCATCCAATTAGATGAGCTTTGTGCTTGGAGCTTAGAGTCTTGGCGGGTAAATGAGGATAAAGATATCAGCCGTGCCCGCAACGTAAAACTCTGCCCTCCCTGTCAGGGGGCCATGTTCATTTAACCAAAGGATCAATAGCAATAATATGATGATAGAGGATTGTTTCATTAGTCTGTGTTATTGTCAGAGTAAACACTGAAGGGTGTTAATATGCATCTAATATATTTATCCCACGTTTGGCCAACAGGTCTGTCGAACATGATGTCCGATGGGGAGTTCCTACGGACGAGCTGTGGCTCACCCAACTACGCTGCTCCAGAGGTCATCTCAGGAAGGTGTGTGTGTGTGTGTGTGTGTGTGTGTGTGTGTGTGTGTGTGTGTGTGTGTGTGTGTGTGTGTGTGTGTGGTGTGTCCTAACCCACATGGGATTGAAAGAGACCATTATTTACACACATCATCTAATCCTGACTTTACAAAAAAAGAGAAAAATGAGAAGAATCACAAACAGAACTCAAACTAATTAATTGGTGTCATAAAAGCATAAATAAAACCCTTAACAAAATCTTATATTAATATTACTATATAAAATGTTTGTTGATAACCTGTCACGTCTTCTCATGGCTCTGTCAGGCTCTATGCCGGCCCAGAGGTGGACATCTGGAGCTGTGGGGTGATCCTGTACGCCCTGCTGTGCGGCACGCTGCCCTTCGATGATGACCACGTCCCCACGCTGTTCAAGAAGATCAGAGGAGGGGTCTTCTACATGCCAGAGTACCTGACTCGCCCGGTGGCCTCGCTGCTCACACTCATGCTGCAGGTGGACCCTCTGAAGAGAGCCACCATCAAAGACATAAGGTGCTCCCCCCACTCTGCGTGCCGCATTTATCTTCTCTTGATTCCTGCCATGGTCACACAGGTTAAATCATTGTTAAGAGCTGCATTGGCTTTAGTCTCTGAATTCTGCTGAGGATTGATTAACATTTGTCATTCAGCTTTTTTCACCACATTGTCTAGAACCCAGCATTTTCAGATGATTGTTTTAACAAGTCATCAGATTTTATTTCTCAAAGCAGTGGGAGGAAAATGTAAGTTAACATCAAACAGAAGTGTATTTTCTCTTATCTTAGTGCTAGGCCTATAATGGCAAAGGTCCCCCATCTGAAGTGTGATTACATAAACAGCCTGATGTGTTTAACAACAGTTTGAGCTCATGAAAGCTTAAATGTCATACTGTGACATTTTGAGATGATTTGCTTTTCCATATTCCCTTAAGTTGGGTTTTCTGATAACTGACGGTTATTCTCTCTCTGTTAGGGAACACGAGTGGTTCAAGCAGGACCTGCCGTGCTACCTGTTCCCCGAGGACCCCTCGTACGATTCGTCAGTGCTGGATGAGGAGGCCGTCAGGGAAGTGTGCGAGAAGTTTGAATGCACCGAGACAGAGTTTGTGTCCAGCCTTTACAGCGGGGATCCACAGGTAAACAAGAGACTTTTTAAAGAAATAAATTGGCCTTTTCTCTGTTTACTAAACTGACTGTTTTAGTAGTGAAGCCACATATTTGATGTCATGATCTTGGCAGTGAAACAATGTGTTATAAGATATTTGACGATAAAGTTGGGAGTTATTTACTTTACTTTAGCCAACATCAACATCTGCCTTTGGTTTCAGTGAATTATCTCTTTAGTCTTTAAATGACTGTGCTTCCTCCCTGTCTATGCAGGATCATCTGTCCGTAGCTTATCACCTGATAATAGACAACCGTCGCATCATGACCCAGGCCAGCGAGTTCTACCTGGCCTCCAGTCCTCCCCAGGGCTCCTTCATAGAAGAGGGCATGCCGCTGCCCCCCGGGGTTAAAGCCCACCCAGAAAGGATGCCTCCCCTCCTGGCAGACAGCCCAAAGTCTCGTTGTTCTCTGGATGCTCTCAACACAACCCGGCCCAAACCCTTAGCAGTGAAGAAGGCCAAGTGGCACCTCGGCATCAGGAGTCAGAGCAGACCCTACGACATCATGGCTGAAGTGTACAGGGCTATGAGAACCCTCAGCTTTGATTGGAAGGTAAAAGGACATGTCTTACACATAACGTATACATACAGTATTTACATAGGCGTATATATGAATTACATGGTCTGTTTTATGTTCTGAAGGTGGTGAACCCATATCACCTGCGGGTGCGGAGGAAGAATCCAGTGACAGGAAACTTGGTGAAAATGAGCCTGCAGCTGTACCAGGTGGACAGCAGATCTTACCTCCTCGACTTCAAAAGCATCGATGGTTAGTGACAGACAAAACAGATTTTACAACACCTATCATTTGGAATAATGCATACCTAAATGAAAGAACATTTGTATCATACAGAATTGTTTCTTCTCTGATAGCAAATGCATTCACAATGTTGCTACACTGCAACTCAATTTCTCTGCCCTAATTTCACGGCTCTAAAATCTGCTTTAGCTGAGTTGGTAGAGGATGTGGTGTTTATGCAGATTAAATGGCAGGGTGCACTTATGGTACTTGTTTAAGCATCAAATTGCACTTACGATGCAGCTTACGCACTGCAGGCCACCTCTTTTACAAACGCAAGCACAAAGGGCATCTTTTCATTCGTCATGTATATACTGTATATGCCGTGCTTTCCTATATGTTAGACTATTCTACACTCATAAACAATTGCAAAAATATTTACTGCCAATTATCATGAGTAGATCGTGACCGTCCTCTACCTCTGCCTTATTCTCATCTTATCTTTTTAAGATTGAATTTCCTTGTTTAAAGGGGACCTATCATGCAAAATGCACTTTTTTATGTCTTTTATACATAAATATGTGTCCCCGGTGCGTCAGGGAACTCAGGCAGCGTCAGAAAATAAAACCCTCTCTCTTTTCCTCTGTACCCAAATATTTTAAAAACAGGGGTACAACGAGCGGATACAGATTTGCTGCCGATATGACGTCAAATCGGCGGCGGACCAACAGAAAGTTATGGGCTCAGAACAGTCTCATAATACACACATGCACACAGAAGGATTCACACTAGTATTTCATGATCCGCAAAAGGATTCACACTTGTATTTCCGGATCCACACTTGTGTTTTTCAATGCACACACAAATGTGTTCCGTTTCATATACATCCAAACACAGAAAAAAGTTTTACATATGGATTTTTGATCCACACATATTTGTTTTCCGTTTAAATCCCCTGAACCTGCAAACACAAACCGCTTTCTGTGCACGGATCGCTGTGCATTCGTGTGTGGGTTTTTTTGAGACTCCCCTGACGGTCACCCGATTCGTACTTGTAATTTCTCTCATCTATAGCCAATCAGATGTCTCCTCCAGTCTAAGCCAATCACATGAGCGCGCCCCCACGAGGGTATGATTTCTTGCGTTCATGACACTTCATACGCATTTTGCGCTGTCCGGTCAGCTCGCTAAACAGAGGGTGGAGCATCAGGTGATCATGCAGAGCTGCGTGTCTCCGTCAGACCCAGCAGCTGATCTGATCTCTCTCTCGCGTCCGGTTACAGTTCACTCGCGTTTATGTCCATATCGATCAGATCCTGATCGGCCTTTATAGAGAGCACCGATCAAACTATTTAGAGTGAATATCGGCCGATAATGACCGGCGGGGCTCCCCCTGTTGACAGTTCACTGTCTAGCACTGGCTTCGTAGTGCACTGATCGATTAGGCTAAGCTAACCTGTAGCTGCTCCCTCCACACTCACAACAACTTCATAGAGACATAAATAAAGCAGCTGTATTCGCCATACAGGAAACACACATTTAAAACGGTTTTGCCTGCCGTTTTTGTGTACACACAAAAATTCATTCATCAATGGTTCTGAAAGTTGCGCTGAACCTTAATTATATAAAGGCTTGTATTCGCGTACATTTCCTGTTCGGAAAGTTGCAATGTACTGAGAGTGGAGGTGTCCTGAGACCATGGACCTTTCAGCGCAAAATGCGTACATGAAGCGTTACGTCATGAACGCAATAAATCTACCCTCGTGGGGGCGCGCTCATGTAATTGGCTTAGAATTGAGGAGACATCTGATTGGCTATAGATAGAAAAGATTACAAGTACGGATCAGCTGACCGTCAGGGGAGTCTCAAAAAACCCACACACGAATGCACAGCGATCCGTGCACAGAAAGTGGTTTGTGTTTGCAAGTTCAGAGGTTTTAAACGGAAAACAAATATTATATTCTGTGTGTAATTTTGACTGACCGTTTGAGTCCGTCTAGTCACATAAACCAACTACTGTCGTCAATTATTGTCTAACTTCCAAAAACACCCTCATCACTGGTAATTTGAACTGGAAACGTCTGACGTTGAGCTGAACTCGACAACGGGATTACGGAGAGAGAAACGGCTGGGTCAAGTGTCTGAGATGAGGGTTCCTAGTCAAAAGTAATCGACACCGACCTACAAATTTGAGATTCTGAGACTGGGGCTACTGACACAGTTTTATTCTTTTTTCTTTAGATTAATAGACGGAGAGACTCTTTCCCGAAGGAGAGATTACAGAGGAACTAGACCTCCACTGTCGGTAAAGTTGGGAAGGTCAGTCATGGTGACCCTCGACTCTACCGCTCCCTCTGTCTTTCTCTTCAGTGACAGGCTTGGAGATTGTGAGGGATGTAGGTCTAGTCGTAAACCGAAATTTAGGGGTGACTGTGGGTCCACCGTCGATTCACACTCCTCCAGAGTCGCACGCTCGCATCCTAGTTTGACCGTGTGTAAAGTTTCTTCAGGTAACACACACTGGGACTGCACTCCACTCGTCCCCCTCCTCGGCCTGTCCCTGGGGCCGTCCCTCCTCGACTCGCGACGTCAGGTCGCGGCCACAGCGGCTCAGCTACGAGATCAGACCCAGACACGTCGGCCGGCAACCTTCGGGCTGGAGACCCCTCACCTGCTGGGACTAAATGGAAACGGCAGGAGTACTACAGTAGACCCCAGTGTACTAGTCTCTACCATTACTCCAGTTACACAAACATATCACTAAGCATTTTTACTATATCCTTTGCAAAAAACAACAACTTAAGTTTACAAATTGCACGTGGTATTACCGTTAATGAACACTAATTAATATTTAGTGTTGGTTAATGAGAGTACAATTTTATTTAACTTCATGAGATTTTTATAAAAAAATTAACCTTAAACTTAAATGGAAATTTTCACCTGGATAACACGGTATAACCTTTTTATATAACATCCCGGTATGGATATGTTTTGTACAGACACTCCCAAAAGACGAATTTTATGCTTTGTCAGTGGGTAACATCGGTACGTAGTATGACGATATGGGGAGAAAAAGTCCGGGCAATCTCCTTTGCGCCTAAAACTCCAGGGAACAAACTTTTTTTATTTTTCACACTCCTCCGCCTACGATTACGGACTAGCTTAAGATGGCTCTCTATTTTCAATTTAGACGACATTATTTTTGCGGTAGACAAGATTTGGTGTAGTTCCTAATAAAGACTTGGTCATAACCTCGAGGTTTACGAAAAAAGGAGAACGCCCAAATAGTGTTCCTAAGAAAAAAGATAAAAGGACCGAAAAATTTGTGTCACGAGATTGTCATGTCCAATCGAGACTCAACAATCGCTCCGAACGATTACATTTGTTTCTTGTTTTAATGCAGGTTTTTAGTGCAGTCCGTAAACAAAGACTAAATCTTGAAAGATACCTGAGTCCTTGTCAGAGTATTATGTGTGTACGTGTGTCTTCCTAAGTGTGAACTATAAGCGCTAGGTTTGAACACAAAAAGTTACGTGTGTGTTTACACAACGCAAAGTATATGTACATTTATTTTAGGTTTATGTCTTTTTTCAAAAAATTTACACCTAAAA